GCAGGAAGAGGTAGCCCATGCGTGAGCAGACGTCGCTGGCCCCGCCACTCAACCAGGAAAGAGAAACAAGGTCAACTGAGAACAGCTGAGCCCAGGGCGCCGGCAGCCCCGGGACCCCGGGGAACTTCCCGTCACACACGGCGCGGGAGGGTGCAGACGGCCCAGCTAGCCTGCGTCTCGGGCAGAGCTAGCCCGAGGGGCGGGCGGGGCTGCTGCGCCCCCGCCGCCCCCCCAGCCAGTGGCAGGGCCTTCCTCAGGTCCACCTGGGCCTCGCCGGGTTCGCTAACACGTGCCAGGACCTGCCCAGCCACTCGTCAGCAGCCGTGCAGTAACTGTCTTTGTGAGAGGACAGAGACGCACACGCACACGCACACACACGCACACACACGCACACACACGCACACGCACACACGAGAGGAAAAGCCTGCGAACGCCCGCTCAGGCGTCACGTGTGCACATATGCTTGGGAGCTGCATCGCCGTGGGCTCCCAGCACCCGGCACCCAGCACCACGTAGCACAGCCCCTCTGACGGCGGTGTGGACACCAAGCGCATGGTGTCAGTCCCAAGCACGGCAGCGGCCTCCGCCCGGCCGAGAGCACGGTGCCCATGGGGTCTGTCTGAGCTCCGGGAGGTGCAGGAGCCGCCCCGCCCTCCGCTGTCCCACACCGTGTGAGAAGGAAGGGGGCGGAGGGCGTGGCCACGTAGGGGCCAGGGACCAGCAGTTTAGGGTTCGAATCCTGGCTCAGCTGCAGACTAGCCAGAGCGAGCTGGGCGAGCTGTCCCCGTCTTGGGGTTCTCCTCTGTAGAATGAGGGTGCTATCTACACGTGTCTCAGGACCCCGGGAGGTTAGATCAATGCCTCTGAGCTGTTTAACGTCAAAAGCGCTGCCTCAGTGTTGGCCCCATTATGACCCGATCTGCTCACATCATGGCCAGGGCAGAGGTGGCCAGACTGCCCCGGGGCCTGTGCTCAGGGCCGACCCACAGGCAGGGCCAGCGCGACTTTTGCCCTCGTTTTCCCGAGCAGCCGAGGTCTTCCTGGGGCCCTGAGCCGAGGCTGGGAGGGTGGGCAGGCACAGCAGAGCCCTTACCATCCTGTCGTCGTTCCCGAAGAGGATGAGTCCCGCTTTGGTGACCACGCCTGGCCGACGGGCTCCCGGGATGGGCAGAGCTTCCCCCTCGGGCACCAGCCCCGAAGTGTTCAATGTCGAGTTGAAAAAGGTCAGCTTCTGTGAGGGGACCCAGGAGAGCGGGTGAGAGGGGGCCGGTGGCCTGGACAGGCGGAGCAGCACTGGGGAGGTGGGGGGCATGAGGCCAAGAGGACCCAAGAACGGCCCCCAGAGCACGAGCAGACTTGGGGGGGCCACAGCGGCCTCAGGAAGCCAACAGCAGGGTTGTCCAAACCCGGGCACACTGGTCTGCACTCAGACTTGGTGACACACGCTCAAGGCACTGCCGGGGAGGCCCCCTGCCCAGGGACGTGCAGGCACCAGTCACTTTGGCCAAGAGACGCATCTGTCCCACAGAGGCTTCTGCAATGGTGTGGGCAGCGGGGAGGCTACTGGACGCGGTCTGGGCGGCCGGCCCAGGGGTGTGGACTGTGGGCCGCGGGAAGGACGAGGCTGCCCCAGGTCTGCGAGGGTGTGTGAAGCCTTACACACACGGCTCCACAACCAGGGCTGCGCTCGAGCCCCGGGCTCCTGTCCTCAGCACCTGGCTGCTCTCTGCTCAGGTCCTGGCCTGGAGTACGCATCCCTCCCCTGCCCAGCACCAGGTCCAAGTCAGAGGGGTCTCTGAGAGGCCAGAGCAAAGCCTCGAACTATTTACAAGAAACACGAGGGGCCCTCACGAAGCAGAGACAAGAACCAGGGCTCGGCTTTGTTTTGGTGCAGAGCATTCTGAAATCCGTGCACGGCTTTACGTGGTGCATGTCGCGGCTAATTGAAGACCCCTGTGCAGGACGGGGCGGTCTCTCTGTCCCGGGGAGGCCAAGGCGCTCAGGGGCCCCGGGGTGGGGGACCACGCACCTGCCCGCCGGCCTCGGCCCAGGCGCCTGGCACCTTGTCGTTGCCGCGGATCCAGTTGTGGATGGCCTCGGCTGGCTGGTCCCAGTTGATCTGTAAGAGCAGGCGATGTTCAGTGGGCCTGCCTGCTCCGCTGCGCCCTGACAGCCCTAGCCGGTGGACCACGCGGTGGCCTGGGCCTGGGCGCAAGTGCATGAGTGGGAGTTCCCTGACCCTCAGCCTTGCAGACTCCGTGATGGTTTGGGAAGAAAATGCCAAGGCCCTGCTGGGAGCCCCAGCACAGCCCGCTCAGGCCTATCTCCCAGGGCCTGCGGAGGCCTCCACACGGCCCCCCAACCCCTAAGCAGAGACGCCCACAGCCAGCTCCCCGCCACCACCCCTCCAAGGAGTTGAGTCGCCTCTGTGGCTCACCTGGGAGACCCTGGCACTGCGGCAGAACCCTGCTTGGGGCATGGCTGCCATCCTTCCAAAGAGGAACGTGGACCCACAGGGGCCTTCTGAGGGACCTGTGGCCTGCCCCCAGGAGCCTGCGCAACCCTCCACATCCTCTCACGTGGCTCTGCTGGTGAGGCCGGCCAGGCCACGCTCCCCTCTGGCCTCAGCAATGGAGCCCAGCCGCCCCCACTCCCAGGAGCCCCCAGGTGGGCAAGCCTGGCACTACCTTGGCTGTTTCCTTCTTCTGAATCCCCTCATAGGTGGCTCCTTCCTCGGGCTGGGGGAGCCTGGGGGCTCTGCCCGCAGCGATCAGCTTCACAGCCTGCACCTGGGGACACCCAGTGTCAGCACCCAGCAGGGTCCCTCTTGCACTCCCAGCACTGGGTCCCCATGGAGCCGGGCCCCTGCCCAGACTGACCGGGCCGTTATGGGGATGAGGTGCAGCGAGGAGCCGGGTGTGGCTTACAACCCGCCGCCGGGGCCGCACATCAGGCCCGTGGCTCTAGCAGGTCTGAGCCACGCGCT